GATTGACAGGTTAATTAAACTTTAAAAGAAATGCAAAAGACATAGAACAATGAAATCTTGAAAAAAAGATGCTTGAAAAATGACCTGTAGTACCTTCTTTGAAGACTTCCTCTAAATCTCCTATTAAAGGCAGTGCATGTCACTAGCTCAAGAAAGGTTAAGGCCTGTTCGGATGGTTGGGGCCACACAGGCTTTCAGAGGTGAAAAGAAAAACACGCCCTAGGTGGAGTCATTGCCTGTTGCCACCCGCCCCCTGGCCAGGGCAGCAAACCAAGAATTAGTTTCAATTAATCCCAGGAATGTGATGTGTTAACCATCTGAACTTTTCTGATCAGCAGTAGTGAGGTAATCTGAATGATAAAAACCTTGCCATTCCCTTCTCTGCAGTCCTGGTCTGAAACAATCCCTTTTCTTTTGCTAGTAGCTTCTTGTCCTTCCCTCCTGCCTATAAAAACCCTCCACTTTGTACAACTCCTGGAAGCATCTATTTGCTAGAGCGGATGTTGCCTGACTCACAAACTGCTTAACAAAACCAAATCTTCACATTTACTATTTAATTTTGTTTTTTAACAGTATTTTCATTCTCAATAATCGAAACAGACTCAATGAAGTTTAGGAAAGAGCTGATTAACACCTGAAGGCAAGATCTTTGGAAAGCACCACCTTGAGGACTACAATTATAAATGCATTTAACAGAAGGGAATAAAAACAACAATACAGCTTTTAATTTAAAATTTTATTAAGTACAGAGTTAACAAGTTTTGAGTTTTCTACATAGGAAAAAGACTGCTCAAGTTCAGATGCTTCATAGAAAAATTAGCATTCAAGAAACAAATATAAACCCACAGTTGCGTTTGTGACTAGAGGGAAAAAAATACCTATTTTAAAAGTTATCAAAACCTAACCATATTCAAGACCATTATAAATTTCAAACAGTAGATTTACTACACACATTACATTTTCAAACTCTCATATAGCAAAACAGAACCACATAATTTGGCTACAGCTAACTGTTTCAGGAAAGTTAAAAAATTTGACAAAGTTATGAATAAAAAACTTTTGTAGAGTTTTTTTGCAAAGTAAAAAAGAACTTAAAATCTTTAATAAAGGAAAAGAAAAAAATTCTCTTAAATTTCTTATAAATAACTCTCAAGACATATATTACACATCTGCTGGAAACTTTCTTTATCTGAGAATTTCCCAGGATCCTTCATTTCAAAGGATTAAAGAACTCTTCATCTTGCTCATATAAATATGATTAAACTCCTATAGAATTGGATTTGAACATATGCATTCTTAATCTACCCTACCCCAATTAAGCTTTTTCTAAAAGGATTTTGTTTAAAACAAACAAACCTCTTTGGTAAAAGCCAAATATTTCCCCCTTTCAAAAGAATGCCTCTGCAAATGATTTACTTAGGAAGATGAAAAAAGAGGGAGAGAGACAAATGTTTAATTCAGAAGATTATGTAAACAGTTCTCTGGTTCTGTGAAGTACGTCCAACATTAGAAAGCCTGTCTCTGCCTGAAATGTGATACTAGTTCAAGTCTGAGGCTTTACAAACGTATTAAAGATGGTGGGAAACATGGTGGCCTTAAGAACAAAGCCATAGGAAGTTATTTGTCTATTAGCAAACTAAGGAGGCTATTATCCTACAGAGAATTCCATGAGCCAAGTGGCTACTGCCCTGTCCCTGATTAAGACCGGCCCAGTGTTCTTTCTGGATATGCAGGGTCTTAGCCTAAGGTCACAACTTTCTTAGCTACACGTTAAAACGCTCTTTCGTTTCTAACAGGAGGAGTAAGATGTGAATATACACCAAAACAAGATGCTATTTAGAAAGGCCGTCAAGAAAGGAAAATGCCAGGGCTGTTAAATACAGGACCCTCTGCAGGGTAACATGAAGCACCAGCAGTGATAAACTTCTGGCTAAAATTAAGTACGTACGGAATCTTAAGTAGGCAGAGGGTGACTACGTGGGTGGGGATGGGGAATGAGCAGTACACAGGGGTCATCCACAATGAAGGCACCTCAGAGGAACTGGAAATAAACCATGTGGTGTGGGAGTCCCCTTCGGGCCACTCCTGACAAGCTCCAGAACCTCAAGTCCCAGGGGCTTCACCAGCCCACCTGCACACAGTCCAACTACTCTACAAAAGAGCTCCAAGTACCTCTGGCAAACAATTCCTCCAAGCCACCCCCAAGACACTCTGAGGACAAAAGCAAAACTAACCAGTATTATGAAAACGAAACCCAGGAGTAGGGACAAAATAGGGTTTCTGAAAGATTTTCATAGAAAAGTGTCTGGGCTTCAGCCAGGTGACACATCTAGGTATACATGGCAGTTCTCCCAAAAGAAGCCCTTAGTGTTTCTATTCATGAAAATGAAGGGGGTGGCGGGGGGAAATTTCCAAGTCAGATGAATAGCACAGGGGAAATACACACACAGTTTTAAAAAATCTTCAGCTTCCATGCTAAGGAGTCTGACCAGCAGCTTCTGGGAATGCACTTTTTAAATCATGTATGAAAAGTTATAGGAAACACAAGTCTATTGTTTAACAAAGGTATCCGTCAATGTATTATGGGAACACTGTCATTAGAACAACTCAAAGCAGTTGGCACCATATTTCCAGTTTCTTAAATCACAATAGAACAAAAATGTAGGTTCTTTAAATCCATGAAAGTTGACTCATCACCTGAGTATTGTTTATTATAACAATCATTGAAATCAACTTATGCATATGCCCTTAGTCCTCAGAGTCTAACCACATCTCTTTCCATCATTCAGATTCAATTTTGAGAATAAAAATCAGTGACTGTAACTCTTCCTCTTATGTCAGACCAAATTCAACAAAGGAACTTTAGGCCCCAAACCATGACTTACGCAGCTGGGAAACTGGGTGGGCTGAAACGGAGGCTCTGAGGGCCCTGCTACTGGCATGAACAACCTCCTGGATGTTTCCCTGAGCTTCGTTCTACAGGGGCAGGGCACCAACAAAGGGCAGCCATGGAACACAGCCTTGTCGGTTAGATCTTGACCTGGGTCCAGTCCTAAAAGCCACACAGCTGGCTGCTGAGGCCAAACATGAAGCTAGCCAATACCATCCTGGCTCTTGATCGGTCTCTCCTTGGGTCTTTCCTAAAGCCAACCTCAGCTTACCCAGAGCCCCTGGCCCCACTCCAGCCACTGCAGGGGCCCCTGCCCACACATCCCCATCCCCTCACCCAGTTGGCTGACCTGCAGGGCTCCCACACGCACAAGCTGAACAGGCTGAGTGGCGGCTATTCATCCTGGGACTCCAGTGATCTTTCAATTGCAGAGCTCCAAGAGCTCCTGGCCTCAAAAAAGCAATTTGATGAAGTTCACAAAACAAAGGCTTTCACACAGACACAAAATGAGTGAGTGCCTTTTAAAAGGAATCACAAATGTTATAAATAAGGCAAGTTCCTAGAGGAATTCGTCAGTTGTATTTATCGTCCCCCCTTTGTTTTCTTGGGTCCTTCCAAAAATGAAAGAATGAAGAATTTGACCTCCCCACACCAGCATTTTGGCACATTGGAGCCCAGCTTAGGTGGGACCCAATTCTGCCCAACCCATTCAGTAGGACACAGACAGTGCGGGCCAGGTCTTTTCATTTTCACACCACCTTTGCCAGGGAGCTGGGGAGGATTCTTTGCATCCTGCATGAAATACTAACAGGAGCATCCTCACCATTGTGTCCACTGGGGGCTCTAGTGGACTTTTCACTGAGAGAACTCTTCCTGAGAACCTCAACACTGAAAATGGGTATCTTCTTGGGCAGCCACCTAAAGTCAAATCTATTATGAATGTTACAATTTACAATATATATTTAGAAAGTTTCTGTGGATGATTTTTTATGGCTTAATTAAATAGCCCCACCACCCACCTTCTCCTGTAAGTACTATTTGGCCATATTTACAATGTGTATAATAGGCCTTATCTAGTCAGTGCAGTTTCAGAGCTGCTGGGAATCCTCACCTCACAAATCTACTCCAAAAAACCATAACGGACATCAGCAGTGTGGTCACATTACAGATCTGGAAAACAAAAGCCCTTCTGCTTTTATAATTTGAAGGCCTCGAGGTGGGAGAGAAACTGGCTGACTTTAATAACTGAAAGAGGGATGCAGCAGGCTTCAGTCAAGAAGCAACTTTTCAGGCAAGGTCCTGAAGTATTAATTATAATCTACTACACAAACAAGTAAGAACTATAGCCCTCCACTGCTTAGGCAAAGGACACAACATGAATACTGTTCTATAATCATATGAATTATACCACAAAGAAGAGTCATGATTATCGCAGTCACTCAGACAGGTAGTGAATATACGGTGGAGGACCACACGGGTGGATGGCAAATTGTGCTTTTTCACATTGCAAAGGTGCCAAACCCAGAAGGGTGAGGGGACCTTCGGGAAGGGCAAGGGCAGAAAGTGAAGTCTGTGACTCCCAGCACCACAGCTTCTAAGGGAAATGTTTGGGGCCAGGAGGAAATAGCACAGGGTAGAGTAGAAAGCAGGTGCTTCCTGCTGTACCCTATAAATACCAAGGAACTGTGAGCGGGGTCCTGCAGGCTGAGTGAGGGCTGTCCACAGAGCCCACTGAAGATGAGGAGTCTGCACTCTCTCAGGGGCTGAGGGCTCATGATTTTGGTGTGTTCTTCTATTCCAAGGGTAAGAATGATAGACCACAGAAGGTAAGTTTTTATGCTAAGATGGCATGCCCAAACTCTGTTTTGGTAAAAAACATGCAGACAGAAAATTCTAGCCTATTATTCCAGTTCTTAGGGGTAAGACACATGTAAAATGTATTATCTCTCAGGATCAGTTTGATTGAAATTTCAATTCTTTTGAGATAAATTGGTATGCTAACAAAATAGGGTTTCTGAAAGATTTTCATAGAAAAGTGTCTGGGCTTCAGCCAGGTGACACATCTAGGTATACATGGCAGTTCTCCCAAAAGAAGCCCTTAGTGTTTCTATTCATGAAAATGAAGGGGGTGGCGGGGGGAAATTTCCAAGTCAGATGAATAGCACAGGGGAAATACACACACAGTTTTAAAAAATCTTCAGCTTCCATGCTAAGGAGTCTGACCAGCAGCTTCTGGGAATGCACTTTTTAAATCATGTATGAAAAGTTATAGGAAACACAAGTCTATTGTTTAACAAAGGTATCCGTCAATGTATTATGGGAACACTGTCATTAGAACAACTCAAAGCAGTTGGCACCATATTTCCAGTTTCTTAAATCACAATAGAACAAAAATGTAGGTTCTTTAAATCCATGAAAGTTGACTCATCACCTGAGTATTGTTTATTATAACAATCATTGAAATCAACTTATGCATATGCCCTTAGTCCTCAGAGTCTAACCACATCTCTTTCCATCATTCAGATTCAATTTTGAGAATAAAAATCAGTGACTGTAACTCTTCCTCTTATGTCAGACCAAATTCAACAAAGGAACTTTAGGCCCCAAACCATGACTTACGCAGCTGGGAAACTGGGTGGGCTGAAACGGAGGCTCTGAGGGCCCTGCTACTGGCATGAACAACCTCCTGGATGTTTCCCTGAGCTTCGTTCTACAGGGGCAGGGCACCAACAAAGGGCAGCCATGGAACACAGCCTTGTCGGTTAGATCTTGACCTGGGTCCAGTCCTAAAAGCCACACAGCTGGCTGCTGAGGCCAAACATGAAGCTAGCCAATACCATCCTGGCTCTTGATCGGTCTCTCCTTGGGTCTTTCCTAAAGCCAACCTCAGCTTACCCAGAGCCCCTGGCCCCACTCCAGCCACTGCAGGGGCCCCTGCCCACACATCCCCATCCCCTCACCCAGTTGGCTGACCTGCAGGGCTCCCACACGCACAAGCTGAACAGGCTGAGTGGTGGCTATTCATCCTGGGACTCCAGTGATCTTTCAATTGCAGAGCTCCAAGAGCTCCTGGCCTCAAAAAAGCAATTTGATGAAGTTCACAAAACAAAGGCTTTCACACAGACACAAAATGAGTGAGTGCCTTTTAAAAGGAATCACAAATGTTATAAATAAGGCAAGTTCCTAGAGGAATTTGTCAGTTGTATTTATCGTCCCCCCTTTGTTTTCTTGGGTCCTTCCAAAAATGAAAGAATGAAGAATCTGACCTCCCCACACCAGCATTTTGGCACATTGGAGCCCAGCTTAGGTGGGACCCAATTCTGCCCAACCCATTCAGTAGGGCACAGACAGTGCGGGCCAGGTCTTTTCATTTTCACACCACCTTTGCCAGGGAGCTGGGGAGGATTCTTTGCATCCTGCATGAAATACTAGCAGGAGCATCCTCACCATTGTGTCCACTGGGGGCTCTAGTGGACTTTTCACTGAGAGAACTCTTCCTGAGAACCTCAACACTGAAAATGGGTATCTTCTTGGGCAGCCACCTAAAGTCAAATCTATTATGAATGTTACAATTTACAATATATATTTAGAAAGTTTCTGTGGATGATTTTTTATGGCTTAATTAAATAGCCCCACCACCCACCTTCTCCTGTAAGTACTATTTGGCCATATTTACAATGTGTATAATAGGCCTTATCTAGTCAGTGCAGTTTCAGAGCTGCTGGGAATCCTCACCTCACAAATCTACTCCAAAAAACCATAACGGACATCAGCAGTGTGGTCACATTACAGATCTGGAAAACAAAAGCCCTTCTGCTTTTATAATTTGAAGGCCTCGAGGTGGGAGAGAAACTGGCTGACTTTAATAACTGAAAGAGGGATGCAGCAGGCTTCAGTCAAGAAGCAACTTTTCAGGCAAGGTCCTGAAGTATTAATTATAATCTACTACACAAACAAGTAAGAACTATAGCCCTCCACTGCTTAGGCAAAGGACACAACATGAATACTGTTCTATAATCATATGAATTATACCACAAAGAAGAGTCATGATTATCGCAGTCACTCAGACAGGTAGTGAATATACGGTGGAGGACCACACGGGTGGATGGCAAATTGTGCTTTTTCACATTGCAAAGGTGCCAAACCCAGAAGGGTGAGGGGACCTTCGGGAAGGGCAAGGGCAGAAAGTGAAGTCTGTGACTCCCAGCACCACAGCTTCTAAGGGAAATGTTTGGGGCCAGGAGGAAATAGCACAGGGTAGAGTAGAAAGCAGGTGCTTCCTGCTGTACCCTATAAATACCAAGGAACTGTGAGCGGGGTCCTGCAGGCTGAGTGAGGGCTGTCCACAGAGCCCACTGAAGATGAGGAGTCTGCACTCTCTCAGGGGCTGAGGGCTCATGATTTTGGTGTGTTCTTCTATTCCAAGGGTAAGAATGATAGACCACAGAAGGTAAGTTTTTATGCTAAGATGGCATGCCCAAACTCTGTTTTGGTAAAAAACATGCAGACAGAAAATTCTAGCCTATTATTCCAGTTCTTAGGGGTAAGACACATGTAAAATGTATTATCTCTCAGGATCAGTTTGATTGAAATTTCAATTCTTTTGAGATAAATTGGTATGCTGTTTGAATTTCAGAATTAAAAAGCCTTTCAGGTCCACTCAAGTGAGACAGGGGATGCCAGCTTTGCACAAAGCACCAATCACTGCTCAGATCCCTGGGCCACTTGTTCAAAGGCTACCCTGTGCAGCCTCCAGGCCTGCTGAACCAAGGGGTCTGCTCAGATCCTCACACAGAGAACTGCCGGGAGGGACAGCAGAGTGGAGCAACCAGTGTCCACAGGTACAACAGCACACAAATCCAACAGGAGGTCATCTTGACCCAGAAGATAGACCAGCTCCCACTGAAGAAGGTTTCAATGTTGGCACTTTCATAGCTGTGGGAACAAGAGACCCCATGGTCAGAGCAGGAAGAGAATGAGCAGGAGAAGGTCTCTTCCACCAAGTGTCTCCCCACTTCTGCCCCCACCACATTTCTTTTTTTCCTGACTCAATCCACACCCATTTGAAGTGTTTAATTCAATGGCTTTTATTATGTTCACAGACTGTGTAACCCCCACCACTATCAATTTCAGAACACTCCCATCACCTCAGGAAGAAGCCTGCACCCTTTTGCTGCCCTACTTTCCCTGCCTCCTCCCAGACCCTGGCATTCACTTATTATGAATCTACATACTTTGTATGTAATCTACTTTCTGCCTCTATGGATTTGCCTATTCTGGACATTTCACATAAGTAGAATCATGTGGCTTCTTGTGACTGGCTTTTTTACGCAAATACTATTTTCAAAGTTCATCCCTATATAGCATGTGTCAGTGCTTTATTCCTTTTTATAGCTGGGTAATATTCCATCATATGGATATAGCACATTTCCTTTATCCATCCATCAGCTGATGAACATTTGGGTTGTTTCCACTTTTTTGGCTATTATGAGTGATACTTGCATCATTATTTGTGTACAGTTTTTGTGTGGACATATGTAGGGGTGTTCCTCACTGCACCTTGGGTATATAGTTAGGAACGGAATTGCTAGATCATATCATAACTCCGTTTAACATTATGAGGAACTACCAAACTGCTTTCCAAAGTGACTGCACTATTTACATTCTTGCCAGGAGTGTAAGAGGGTTCCAGCTTCTCTGCATTCTTAACATCATCTGTTATTTTCTGCCTCATTGATTATAGCTCCCTCCTTTCTTTCTTAAGCTTCCCATACCAGGTTTTAAAAAATTTTTTTTATTAGGGTATTGTTGATATACATTCTTATGAAGGTTTCACTGAAAAAACAATGTGGTTACTACATTTACCCATATTATCAAGTCCCCTCAATACCCCAATGCAGTCACTGTCCACACCAGGTTTTTCCAGGGATTCTCAAAGTATCACTGTGAAGCATTAGAAGCTTCCTTCTCTTTCTCCCGTGGATGTTCTGGAACAATCTCCTCAGTGAAGCCTTTCCTATCACTTGAATTGAAACCATTGCCCCATCTCCCAAACCTCATTAGGTTCTCCCTATTCCTCCTCGTCCTTTTATTTTTCTCCCTAACGTCATCACTCTCTGGTACACTGTATTTGATTTAGATCATGACCTGTCTTCTCCATTAGAATATAAGCCCTGCTACCTCTAACAGTGTGGCACTTAGGAGCCACCCAAACATTCAAACAAATAAAAAAGCACAAAAAGCCTAAATGTGTATCCTATGTCTATCCTAAACTATGACAAATTATAATCCAATAGAAACTCTGGGTAAATCAAAGAATAATCCAAAAAGAATCAAAACGACCAAGTGGTGACAGGGAAAGTCAGATCTATCATGTACTGCCAAGTTAAAACCAAAAACCCTCAAAGGGGAAAATATGTGTAATCAAATTTATGATAAAAAATTACATAAGCTTGTTAAATGCATAGAAAAGGAATGACACCCACCATATTTTTAACAATAATTAGGGGGTGGGGGAAGAGGGGGTCACTGTTATTTTTCATACTTCCATGTCATTTTGTTTTTAAAAACATTTCAAACTTTTGTAATGAAAGTAAAAAAAAGAAAGACAATACAATGCACAGTAGGAAAAATGACATTCTCTGTCTTAAAGCAGATGATTCAGTATTCCAAGTTCTTCCTCCACTACTACTGTACTCTTCAACACTGTGCATGTTCAGTTAACCTTCCATTGTCTTAAAGTAGCAGTAGGCATTGGTCATTTCCAGGGTTAAAAGCATGCTTACGGGCTATTAGGAACTTGGAACTCTTTCCGTAAAGGTGAGTATACTGCGACTCAGGGGTTTAATTGATTCCAGGAGATCTGATCTGTGTCTCAGCACATAAAGAATAGGTCTTACCTTGATTTTTTAAAAGACTGCCCCTTCTAAAATGTCTTAGGCAATGGGCCATACTCACTTGAACCAGCTGGTGACAGTCATCATCACATAGAGGGAAGCCAAGAAGAAAACGAAGTGGAAATAGGAATAGCTATAGACGGTGCCTCTCTTCTCATCGTAAATGACCCGTGGTCCCTCCTTCATGTTCTGCTGCTCTTCAGTGTCTGTGAACCACAAAGCGAGCATGAGCTCAGTGAGTGAACACAGGCACACTTCTGTTTCAGCCTTACTCAAACTAACCTCAGTCCTAGGGGCTGCAGAGCAGAAAAGATGGCAAAGCCAATTGTACGCTTAGGCAATTTCACCTATGCCACAAACCCCAAAGCCCCACTCCACCCAGAACCTTCAACAGGATAAGTTACCTAACATCACCTTTATTTTAACAGGGCAGAAGAGAGCTCTTAAAAACACAACACTTGTATTATAAGCTCTAAAGAAAGTCAGAGAGCAGAGCAAGAGTTTTCAAGCCTGCAGGATCCTCCAATCCCAGAAAAAATAGCAAGCTGAAGGAAATAAATTTTCTAAATTTCATTCCTTTAAAAAATGTACTTGCTTCTGTAAATCTCACTGTATAATTTAACTTAAATATGAGCCAAAATATGGACTGATTATTGCCTTCCAAAATACTGATACAAACCCCAGTAACCCTTTAAGAAGAATGTGTAAAGTATATAAACAGTCAATCATCTGTGGAATAAAAATTTCTCCTATCATTCAAGTTGTCTGAATCCCAAACACCTACAGACTAGATAGAGCTATAGGTCTGCAGGGCCACACGGATGCACAGAAGGGAAGTTCTTTACTTACCCTCTCCATTGGGGCCGAAGCAAAAACAGCACCGAGCAACCTGGGAGAGCAAACCCAACAGTCAGGTGGCTTGCTTTCTGCCGTCCTACCTCCACATCAGTAAAGCACTGAAGGCCCAGCTGACCTCATATGAACTACATCCCAGGCCCTGCACTGCACATTTCATCCTGTCTGTAAGGTTTTGATTCAGCAACTGTTCTTCCTAGATGCTCCTGGTGCTGATGATAGGAAATACAACAGAAATGGAGATGAGCCACCCAGATCCCTTTCAAAGGTGCTCACTTAGTGCTCACTAGGTGCTTCAAGTGCTGTGACAGTTTCAAGACAGCAGCTCCCAAGGCTTTGCCTCAGCTGTAGTCACCCTGCCCTAGAGCAAGCCCTTCGTGGGCAACCCACACATGACGACTGACCACTGCAGGCGGGTAAAGGCGCAGCCACTGGCCCCTGGAGGACAGCTCCGATGGGTCCTATCTGCTCTGGAGCACCTGTGGGGTCAGCAGAGGCTTGTTCAACCTGCAGTGCCCTTCAACTTGATACATCCTCTGCTAACTGCCTCTTCTCCTACCTTACTTCCATGATCCCCAATAAATAACCTGTACATCAATCTCTGCTTCGATGGCTGCTTATGGAAAACTCAACCCGAAACATCAAGTGAATAAGACAAGATTCCCACTCTAACAGAGCTCCATTCTGGTCCTTCACTCGTTACTTCATTAAAACCTCTTCAGCCTCAAAGGCTGGGATTATTATTCTATTTACAGTTATGGAAACTGAGGTCAGGCAGGCTAAATAATTGGCCTGAACTCACACATCAGCTTAGTGACAGAGCTGGCACATGAATGCAGAATAGTTCACAATTCACAAGAGGTAGTAAGTAGTATGTGATACCTAGAGGAGATGGTAGAGTCAACAAGATTAGAAACAGTAACACAAAGGGATCCAGAATGGCCTATTCACAAGCCTTTATTTTCCTCCTGCATCAAGGAACTTGTAATAGACAGATTAGCCTAGACAGAATCTTGGATCAAGTGACACAGATTCCCTGATTCATTCAGTGGGGCTAAACATGGTATGCTGGGGTCTTAGTTCTTTTGAAGCTTAAGTTACCACAAAAACTACTAACTCTTTTTCAAAGGTATATCCTGTGAAATGTGATGCAAAGAGTAAATCAACATCCTGCATGCTCTCCAGTTTAGAAGGAAAAGAAAAACATTCTCTCTTAAATCTAACTTAGAAGACTTGCTGTTCTTTGAGCTTTAACTGCACACAAAAGGGATATTGAAGCCATAAGGCTTCCTAAAGGTCCAACCTCAGCAGGTAGCCACGCAGTCAGTAGAGAGAACAAATGCCTGCCTTTAAGAGACCATTTTGTTCTGTATAATAGGCAGTAACCTATTCAAATTCAGCACAGTTTTCTCCTTTTTGAAGTGACAGAAAGAGCTGGCAAATGATGCTGGCCCACTGACAACCCTTTATAATGGTTCACTATCTTCAGGTCAGGGCAGGAAAGTCCATCCCCAGGGACGTAGCTGCAGAGTAAAGTGCCCATTTCTGGACAGACACCAAGGCTCCTCCATCCATGGCAAGCAATCAGAAGGCAGCCAGAGGCTGGATGCCAGGTTCAGCAGCAGGGCCAGGAGACAGCAGCTGAGAATTGGGCAGTGGTGGTTAAAAACACAGACTCTAGAGCCAGGGTGCACAGTTTGTATGCTGGCAAATAAAAGGTTAATTTCTGTTTTTCCCCTTTCTAAAATGGTGGTAAAACCTTCATTGAGTTTTTACAGGGATTAAATGAAATCACAGATGTGGCGCTTTCAACAGAGTGTGGTATGTAACAAGGGCTCTAAGTCTTAGCCACCCCTGGAATCTCCTGTTCTTTCCATTCTTGGGATCAGGACTGAGTCTTTTCCTTGTGGCCTCCATCTGATTAGACCTTTCTGACCTTGGTGGATGTTCCACTGAGGGTCCCAGGAGACGACTTGCATGAGTGAGAAAATTTCTACTGATTGGCAGGCATCTGCTGACCACCCTGATTCTTTGGATACCTACTATTCACAAGTTACTCAGTGAAATGCCCACGTGATAGAGCCGATGCAGTTAAATAAGTGAACAGAGATACTGCTCAGCACTACAGCACAGAGCAGATGCATGGACCTTACTGTCTCCACCTCTCTCTCTCATTCTTCAGAACAGCTATACATAATTTCACAGTCATGCTACGCATGGAGAGTATGGACAGGTATAAAATGGAACCACACACAGAGGAAAAGAGCAGAGAGCTGCCTGACAAAGCTACCCCAGCCTCTGGTGGGAGGTGGGCAGTAGGCTACCACACAAGAGGCCAGTTTTTTTTGTAGGAAAATCAAGGATTCATTTTAATCCCATTGTATAGACAGGAAATTAATTTTTCTGCACAAAAATTGTATTCTTTTCTGAGGAGAAAAATTAGAACATGGAATGCAGATCAATAAAGATGCAAATAAACATAAAAAGGCTTCCTGAAAAATGAGTCTTCTGAGCTGAAGCAGCACAAGAAAGGGAAATGAACTTACTTCCAGTTCAGGAGCTGCATATCGTCCCTGCAGAGCATCAGAACTTGACCTTGTTGTCGATGTCAAACTAAGAAAAACACAAAGAGGTCAGCAAAGCACATTAAAGTGTCCTAGCCCATCAAAGGAGGGGCAGAGCCACCTCACCAATGCTCCAGGAGAGCCTCACAGTAACCTACAGTTCTGGCCGCTTCAATGAAAAGCAGTCTCTTTTATTTAAAAAAATTTTTTATTATGGTATCATTGATATACACTCTTATGAAGGTTTCACAAGAAAAACAATGTGGTTATTACATTCACCCTTATTACCGAGTCCCCCCCATCCATTGCAGTCACTGTCCATCAGTGTAGGAAGCTGCTCCAGAGTCACTACTTGCCTTCTGTGCTACACTGTCTGCCCTGTGATCCCCCTGCATACCAGGTGCACTAATCATGATACCCCACAATCAGTGAAGCCTTTCCTATCACTTGAATTGAAACCATTGCCCCATCTCCCAAACCTCATTAGGTTCTCCCTATTCCTCCTCGTCCTTTTATTTTTCTCCCTAAAGTCATCACTCTCTGGTACACTGTATTTGATTTAGATCATGACCTGTCTTCTCCATTAGAATATAAGCCCTGCTACCTCTAACAGTGTGGCACTTAGGAGCCACCCAAACATTCAAACAAATAAAAAAGCACAAAAAGCCTAAATGTGTATCCTATGTCTATCCTAAACTATGACAAATTATAATCCAATAGAAACTCTGGGTAAATCAAAGAATAATCCAAAAAGAATCAAAACGACCAAGTGGTGACAGGGAAAGTCAGATCTATCATGTACTGCCAAGTTAAAACCAAAAACCCTCAAAGGGGAAAATATGTGTAATCAAATTTATGATAAAAAATTACATAAGCTTGTTAAATGCATAGAAAAGGAATGACACCCACCATATTTTTAACAATAATTAGGGGGTGGGGGAAGAGGGGGTCACTGTTATTTTTCATACTTCCATGTCATTTTGTTTTTAAAAACATTTCAAACTTTTGTAATGAAAGTAAAAAAAAGAAAGACAATACAATGCACAGTAGGAAAAATGACATTCTCTGTCTTAAAGCAGATGATTCAGTATTCCAAGTTCTTCCTCCACTACTACTGTACTCTTCAACACTGTGCATGTTCAGTTAACCTTCCATTGTCTTAAAGTAGCAGTAGGCATTGGTCATTTCCAGGGTTAAAAGCATGCTTACGGGCTATTAGGAACTTGGAACTCTTTCCGTAAAGGTGAGTATACTGCGACTCAGGGGTTTAATTGATTCCAGGAGATCTGATCTGTGTCTCAGCACATAAAGAATAGGTCTTACCTTGATTTTTTAAAAGACTGCCCCTTCTAAAATGTCTTAGGCAATGGGCCATACTCACTTGAACCAGCTGGTGACAGTCATCATCACATAGAGGGAAGCCAAGAAGAAAACGAAGTGGAAATAGGAATAGCTATAGACGGTGCCTCTCTTCTCATCGTAAATGACCCGTGGTCCCTCCTTCATGTTCTGCTGCTCTTCAGTGTCTGTGAACCACAAAGCGAGCATGAGCTCAGTGAGTGAACACAGGCACACTTCTGTTTCAGCCTTACTCAAACTAACCTCAGTCCTAGGGGCTGCAGAGCAGAAAAGATGGCAAAGCCAATTGTACGCTTAGGCAATTTCACCTATGCCACAAACCCCAAAGCCCCACTCCACCCAGAACCTTCAACAGGATAAGTTACCTAACATCACCTTTATTTTAACAGGGCAGAAGAGAGCTCTTAAAAACACAACACTTGTATTATAAGCTCTAAAGAAAGTCAGAGAGCAGAGCAAGAGTTTTCAAGCCTGCAGGATCCTCCAATCCCAGAAAAAATAGCAAGCTGAAGGAAATAAATTTTCTAAATTTCATTCCTTTAAAAAATGTACTTGCTTCTGTAAATCTCACTGTATAATTTAACTTAAATATGAGCCAAAATATGGACTGATTATTGCCTTCCAAAATACTGATACAAACCCCAGTAACCCTTTAAGAAGAATGTGTAAAGTATATAAACAGTCAATCATCTGTGGAATAAAAATTTCTCCTATCATTCAAGTTGTCTGAATCCCAAACACCTACAGACTAGATAGAGCTATAGGTCTGCAGGGCCACACGGATGCACAGAAGGGAAGTTCTTTACTTACCCTCTCCATTGGGGCCGAAGCAAAAACAGCACCGAGCAACCTGGGAGAGCAAACCCAACAGTCAGGTGGCTTGCTTTCTGCCGTCCTACCTCCACATCAGTAAAGCACTGAAGGCCCAGCTGACCTCATATGAACTACATCCCAGGCCCTGCACTGCACATTTCATCCTGTCTGTAAGGTTTTGATTCAGCAACTGTTCTTCCTAGATGCTCCTGGTGCTGATGATAGGAAATACAACAGAAATGGAGATGAGCCACCCAGATCCCTTTCAAAGGTGCTCACTTAGTGCTCACTAGGTGCTTCAAGTGCTGTGACAGTTTCAAGACAGCAGCTCCCAAGGCTTTGCCTCAGCTGTAGTCACCCTGCCCTAGAGCAAGCCCTTCGTGGGCAACCCACACATGACGACTGACCACTGCAGGCGGGTAAAGGCGCAGCCACTGGCCCCTGGAGGACAGCTCCGATGGGTCCTATCTGCTCTGGAGCACCTGTGGGGTCAGCAGAGGCTTGTTCAACCTGCAGTGCCCTTCAACTTGATACATCCTCTGCTAACTGCCTCTTCTCCTACCTTACTTCCATGATCCCCAATAAATAACCTGTACATCAATCTCTGCTTCGATGGCTGCTTATGGAAAACTCAACCCGAAACATCAAGTGAATAAGACAAGATTCCCACTCTAACAGAGCTCCATTCTGGTCCTTCACTCGTTACTTCATTAAAACCTCTTCAGCCTCAAAGGCTGGGATTATTATTCTATTTACAGTTATGGAAACTGAGGTCAGGCAGGCTAAATAATTGGCCTGAACTCACACATCAGCTTAGTGACAGAGCTGGCACATGAATGCAGAATAGTTCACAATTCACAAGAGGTAGTAAGTAGTATGTGATACCTAGAGGAGATGGTAGAGTCAACAAGATTAGAAACAGTAACACAAAGGGATCCAGAATGGCCTATTCACAAGCCTTTATTTTCCTCCTGCATCAAGGAACTTGTAATAGACAGATTAGCCTAGACAGAATCTTGGATCAAGTGACACAGATTCCCTGATTCATTCAGTGGGGCTAAACATGGTATGCTGGGGTCTTAGTTCTTTTGAAGCTTAAGTTACCACAAAAACTACTAACTCTTTTTCAAAGGTATATCCTGTGAAATGTGATGCAAAGAGTAAATCAACATCCTGCATGCTCTCCAGTTTAGAAGGAAAAGAAAAACATTCTCTCTTAAATCTAACTTAGAAGACTTGCTGTTCTTTGAGCTTTAACTGCACACAAAAGGGATATTGAAGCCATAAGGCTTCCTAAAGGTCCAACCTCAGCAGGTAGCCACGCAGTCAGTAGAGAGAACAAATGCCTGCCTTTAAGAGACCATTTTGTTCTGTATAATAGGCAGTAACCTATTCAAATTCAGCACAGTTTTCTCCTTTTTGAAGTGACAGAAAGAGCTGGCAAATGATGCTGGCCCACTGACAACCCTTTATAATGGTTCACTATCTTCAGGTCAGGGCAGGAAAGTCCATCCCCAGGGACGTAGCTGCAGAGTAAAGTGCCCATTTCTGGACAGACACCAAGGCTCCTCCATCCATGGCAAGCAATCAGAAGGCAGCCAGAGGCTGGATGCCAGGTTCAGCAGCAGGGCCAGGAGACAGCAGCTGAGAATTGGGCAGTGGTGGTTAAAAACACAGACTCTAGAGCCAGGGTGCACAGTTTGTATGCTGGCAAATAAAAGGTTAATTTCTGTTTTTCCCCTTTCTAAAATGGTGGTAAAACCTTCATTGAGTTTTTACAGGGATTAAATGAAATCACAGATGTGGCGCTTTCAACAGAGTGTGGTATGTAACAAGGGCTCTAAGTCTTAGCCACCCCTGGAATCTCCTGTTCTTTCCATTCTTGGGATCAGGACTGAGTCTTTTCCTTGTGGCCTCCATCTGATTAGACCTTTCTGACCTTGGTGGATGTTCCACTGAGGGTCCCAGGAGACGACTTGCATGAGTGAGAAAATTTCTACTGATTGGCAGGCATCTGCTGACCACCCTGATTCTTTGGATACCTACTATTCACAAGTTACTCAGTGAAATGCCCACGTGATAGAGCCGATGCAGTTAAATAAGTGAACAGAGATACTGCTCAGCACTACAGCACAGAGCAGATGCATGGACCTTACTGTCTCCACCTCTCTCTCTCATTCTTCAGAACAGCTATACATAATTTCACAGTCATGCTACGCATGGAGAGTATGGACAGGTATAAAATGGAACCACACACAGAGGAAAAGAGCAGAGAGCTGCCTGACAAAGCTACCCCAGCCTCTGGTGGGAGGTGGGCAGTAGGCTACCACACAAGAGGCCAGTTTTTTTTGTAGGAAAATCAAGGATTCATTTTAATCCCATTGTATAGACAGGAAATTAATTTTTCTGCACAAAAATTGTATTCTTTTCTGAGGAGAAAAATTAGAACATGGAATGCAGATCAATAAAGATGCAAATAAACATAAAAAGGCTTCCTGAAAAATGAGTCTTCTGAGCTGAAGCAGCACAAGAAAGGGAAATGAACTTACTTCCAGTTCAGGAGCTGCATATCGTCCCTGCAGAGCATCAGAACTTGACCTTGTTGTCGATGTCAAACTAAGAAAAACACAAAGAGGTCAGCAAAGCACATTAAAGTGTCCTAGCCCATCAAAGGAGGGGCAGAGCCACCTCACCAATGCTCCAGGAGAGCCTCACAGTAACCTACAGTTCTGGCCGCTTCAATGAAAAGCAGTCTCTTTTATTTAAAAAAATTTTTTATTATGGTATCATTGATATACACTCTTATGAAGGTTTCACAAGAAAAACAATGTGGTTATTACATTCACCCTTATTACCGAGTCCCCCCCATCCATTGCAGTCACTGTCCATCAGTGTAGGAAGCTGCTCCAGAGTCACTACTTGCCTTCTGTGCTACACTGTCTGCCCTGTGATCCCCCTGCATACCAGGTGCACTAATCATGATACCCCACAATCCCCTTCTCCCTCCCTCTCCACCCCGCTCCTTTGGTAACTGCTAGTCCCTTCTTGGAGTCTGTGAGTCTGCTATTATTTTGTTCCTTCAGTTTTGCTTCGTTGTTATACTCCACAAATGAGGGAAATCATTTGGTATTTGTCTTTCTCTGCCTGACTTATTTCATTGAGCATAATCCCCTCTAGCTCCATCCATGTTGCTGCAAATGGTAGAATTTGTTTTTTCTTATGGCTGAATAGTATTCCATTGTGTATATGTATCACATCTTCAAAGCAGTGTCTTTGAATATCTGACAACTGGCTCAGCGATTCTTTAGTTGACATTGTTTTACACTGATTGCTTTACATCATTTTACACAAAGAAAAGTTTGTAGTGAAATAGTAAGATGTCTTCTGGTCCTATATCTTGTTTTTCGCCTCTTCTCCCTCAAATGTCAAGATGATTTTCTAATTTCTCTTTTATCTTTTCCCTCCCTTTGACTAGTCTCACTTAGAAGGGATCAAAAGCAATGAAGAACCCAGAGATGGCAATAATAGGCAAGGGCATGGAAAGCAAAGGTCACAGTTATTTACTATGATGATCAGCCTAAGGCAGAACAAGGTTTTCTGTTAGGAAACTCAACACAGAGTAGGTGTTCAGTGTGATAAAAAAAATTCTTCCCTCCACTTTCCCAATACCTATAGAGGTAATTTGGCTTACAGGGCTAACAAAGGTATTTATTTTTCCTAGGGGGGAAAAAGGAACATTTTAAGCAAATAGAAATATATACAATACTTACAGTCTAGATAATGGTATAAATTCGTTTAGCAAATATTTATTAAAGGGCTGTCCAAGTACCAGGCCCTATTCCAAGTACTGGGGACTCAGTGGAGAAGCCAACAGTCCCTGCCTTCGGGCATCTTATGTGTCAGCCTGACCTGCCTGGCGGGAAAGCTGAGGGTGTGCCTGGAGGGAAAGCAGCAATTAGCCGATCATGTCAACTAAACCAGCCCCAGGAGGCAGCACTGCCTTCTCTGCTCATTCTCATTCTCTTTCCCAAGGAGAGAAGAGATCTGAGACACAAATGAACAATGGAAGGTCCTCTGGGATCCAGGTGGACCACTCCTTCTTTTGGGACCCACTCACATCCAGGAATAGCCCTTTCCTTTCTGCTGTGAACAGACGGGTGCTAATCGAGGGCCCCTCCACTCCCACTTCCTGACTTTGCACCTGGTCAGAGGAATGATGGAATTACTTCCTGATAACTGTGCACCCAGGAAACATCACCTTGCTCCTGCATTTAAGAGTGTGCTATATTTTGTGCATGTAAGCTATTATTTAATATAGTATATACTTTCTATAGAGGAAAATGTAGCTTTTAATTTTAGGAGAGATCAGTATGTGGAACTTTCATCTCAGTGCTGATATTCATTCTTTAAAAGGGTTAGAATAAGTATTCCATCTTGTAAATTCTTCAGAATAACATTTCAGAGAAGAAAACCTTTTGATTCTGGCACCTTTGCCACTTCACTTCCATCATCAGAGAGCCTTAAATGCTTTGTTCTTACTCCCCAAAATACCAATATTCAGCTCAGCTCATCATTAGTGACATGTGACTTCTACAAGCAGATTACCACAAAGTAAGTTCTTTATTCAGTCATGATTTTAATTTTGTTGGGAGAATCCTTGAACCTACTTACTGCTAAACAGCTTGAAGCAGAAACAGGATGTAAAATAATGGTCTGAGGCAAATGCTCAATGAGGGATAAAAAGAAGAAATTGGTGTAAGTCAGCAGGGTTCATTGTTGACCAAGGAAAAAGACAGGCTGCCTTATGGGAGGGGTGCTTCAGCAGGCTGCCCCTGTGAATGGGGAGACAGTGGATCGTCCCCCAGTGGGTATGTGGTCTGAGGTGGCTTGCCTCCTAGAGGACTGGGCCCACCCCAGGACTGGAGGCAGGTGGAGGTGATACCTGAGGCACTGGTGTGGCCTGTGGTAGAGTAAGTAGGTCTTTTGAGAGACAGAGTGCCCGTGAGGCAGCAGGGACTGTGGATTGGCTGCTTCTCACAGTATTAAAAAGGTCTACAGAAGAGAAGGACATGGTCCTGAAAAATACCCTAGAAATGGCGGCACGAGAATGCGAGCTGCAAACTTCTGTGGATTCCCTGAAGAAGGAAATGGCATTGATGCGAGAGGAGGCAGCACGAGAACGCCACCAGCGAGGTGCCATTGAAGAGGTAAAAGATTCCTTACAGAACAAGATGGCAGCGCTGCCAGTGCTCTGAAGGAGGAAAAGGCCATCAAGGAAAACGATGAACTCCTGAGGGAAGCAGAGGTGGAGGCAGAGACGCTAGTGCTCGACCTGCCGCCAGGAGAACAAGCCGGGTAATAAACCCTTTCACCCCAAACAATGGTTTGCTGTCAATTTCTTTTTGTTTTACTCGCAGAACATTGTCCTTGGAGTTATTGAGAAAATAATTATTTTTACACACTCTTTAAAAGCTTAGGAAATTCTTATTGTGTGCATTCTTGCTATTACTAAGCCCCATCTGTTTGGTCAGCACAGGACAAGTTACTGCACATCAATCCCAGGTTATCCATTACTTCTGCCCTTCCAGGGCTAGGGTATGAACAACTCTGACCCAGTACTTCCATCAGTACTGGGGGAAGTGGAGGCAGACTGAAAGCCTTTGGCTGGGACAATGTTTACTGTACAGAGAAGGTGTAATGCTCCACAACGTGTTTATATCTTTAGCATTCTATTCACAAAATGCCAGTGTGCTTTGCCGTCATTGCGATGACAAAAAAATGCCTCCCTCTAACCCAACCTTGCTCCTGCCTGAATCACTGCCTTATCCAGAACCTCTTTCATTTTGGCGGAATGATTCAAAACATACGTGCCCCTCCACACCTGCTTCAGTTGCTTTTGGAACTGGCCAAACTCCTGGATCACAGGAAATCTCTAAAGAACACATCCCACTAGCTTTTCCTATTGGAGACCATAGATTGGGCCCTGGCGATCTTAACAGGGCCCTTGAGAGATCCCATGACTATTCCCAGCCTTTGTATGATGAAGTTCAATTATGTTTCCACTGCACCATATAATTAATTGGTAATTCGTGGCTCCCAAAGGAGACCAGACTCCTTTGTGAACTGGTGGGGAGAGCTCAACATCTCCCCGAAATACAGCCATGGAGATTTCTAGCTGGCAGGTTAGGGAGGGGCAGGATTCCCAAAATTAAGATATCCCCCAACTCCTCTTTTCTTAAATAAATACCAGAAGAAAAGATACCCTTCTCCTTGACTTGCCAGCTCCTCTCAGTTTATGTCAATCTTGCTTACAATGACATCTTACCAACTTTGTACCTATTTCAACATGGTTTACTGTATTGCTGCAAATGTCCCATTTTGAACTTGAATGTTGTTGGACACTTAAAAAGTTTCTTAATTTTCCAACTTTATATTCAAATGCCTAGACAGTTTAAATAATGATTATTTTTTCCTTTAATCATTGCTAAAACGGAAATAGCCAGAGAACATTTTACAGCACGAATGCCTCCTTGTAATAAAATTACACAAGTTAACCCAATTTATCCCTCTACCTCAGTGAAGGACCTTAACACAAGTCATCTCAGGAAGACAAAAAGGCTATGACTCTGTCTCTCCCAACACTCCAGCGAAGGAAACTCAAGGGAAGGTCTCCTGGAGTCGGGAGTGGACAAGTACAGGAATGGGCTCCATGCCTCAGTTTCCTTTCATGTACAGTAAGAGAATTGAACTTGATTGACTCCGGAATCCTGTTTAATCTGACAGTTTGAACTTGAAGCTAACAGAATAATAATTTCAATCAAAATCTAGAGAGCAAGGAGGGAATTAAGGAATAGCTGGGGGAGGCCAGGGCCTATTACAAGAAGGATCCAGGCCTAAGGGAGTGTGGTAAGGTCTACCTACGGAAAGAGCCATCGGGGAACTGTGTGGGGTCTAAACAGTGACACTTCATCACAGTAATAATGCCTCAGTCAACAGGGGCCTCTGGAAAAAAGGCGGCCTCAGTGGGAAAGCCAAGGAATGGTTTTTGTGAGTCTTTCTTCCACGTTAAGGCAGCAAAGACTAAAACACCCTCATGGTGAATACCTCAAAAGCAGAACTTGGGACAGAGAAACAAACACTAGGGATGGAGGTCATCATGACAGAAGCATGGGGACAGGCACTGGGGAGAGCAGAGGCAATCCCAGATGGGCGAGAAGACAGTGCAGTAAGCCGTCCATGAACTTATAGAAAGATGAACTACAATCTTGGACTTTCATTGAAAATGACTGATTTCTTCCCTCTTTAAAGTACACACTACCCAGACTTGTGGCTTCTTATAATTTCTATGAAGAATTTTAGATATTGCTGCAATCATCTTCAAATGGCAGTTTCCACCCAGGCAATGCAGCCTCCCTTTGTATTGTCTTCCAGCCTTTCATTCTTCTAGGTCTGGGCAGAAACAGTGACTCTAGGAAGTCGAGATCTGAAAACCTCCTAACCAGGCTGCCTCCCACTCCAGCAGCATTCCCTTTTCTCAAGGCCCTCCTGGACCTGAACTCACTTCCCTGGTAGCTCTGAGACTGGTTATAAAGTTCTTGATGTTGCCTCTGCCTGGAGTGCAGAGGCTAATTACAGCAAACATTAACTACCCAGACCCTAGGCATGTGTTTCACTGACACCTGCAAGGAATCTGACCGGCAACACAGGGTATTGTGTACCACGTGTTCCACAAACACCCCTGGAGCTACCTGGTTACCCTCTATCACCACTTGGTGTGGCTGCTGTTTCCAGTCTCCTCATGCCATCAAGCACTAAGGTTTTGCAGTTTAATTACTAGCATTCAATAGTGATTGTTATTGGCACTTAGAGAGATTTTAAGTAGCAGCTGTCAGCTTTGAAAATTGTTATCTTTTGGGAATATCAGACCATACCAGCTTCCACTCTGGTGCCTCTAAATTTCAAAAGAGGTGATGTTTTATTTATCATCCCTCCCTCCAGAGTGGCAGTGAAAATCTGATAGGGTGAAAATTCCATGCTGCAAAATAACACCATTTGTGGCAATTCCATCAACGCACTAAGGAGAATTTTTGCCATCTTTTCCACTGATGGATTTATAGCAAATTCAGGTCCTATTTTATCCAAGGGGCAAACTTTTCTTCATGTGTGATTACACATTCAGTAACCCACAAAAACATACCATTTTATTCTGTCAACTACCTTTGTAATTTTTCTTCTAATACACAAAAAAAGAAATGCTAGCTCATTGTAAGAAACAATAAACTTCTTTCAGAAAAAAAACCAAAAAACCCCCAGAAGAATAAAAGATAAAATGAAGTTATCCCCAATACTACTACTGTTACAAGTTTGGTTTATTTATCTCCTGCCAGCATTTTTTCTATATATGTAAATACAACTCTATTTTATTTTAAAAAATGGAATATTCTATATTTGCAGTTTAGTAACCTACATTCTCCCTCACTTGATTTACCAGTATTTTTTATGTGTCAATACAGAAAAAACTTGGTGACAAATCATGAAAGTAGCCACATTGTCACCATTTCTCCCCAAAGCCCAACAATAACAGGTTCAAGAAGGAAAAGCTGAGGCTCAGGATTCAAAATGGAGATGGGGGCGGTGGTGTGCATGGGTGGGCTTTATGGTGTTCCTGAAAACATTCACCAACTTAGGCCTGAATCCCAGCCACTGTTTTGTCTATAGTAGGAACTCAGTGGACAATTATGGAATTGACACTGTGGTCCCTTAGGCTACAAAAAGAAATCTTTGCCTATGTCAGAGACAAGGTGAGAGCCACTGTTTTACAACCTTTGTGGTAACAACCACCTGCAACATTAGTAAGCATTTAAGGCTTGATGCATGACTCTGAACATCACTCAGTTCTCCCATCTCTAAAATGTCTGTCTGTTGGTCTGTTTCTAGCAGTAGCAGGGTGTAAGAAACTAAGAGAAAATGCCAGTGTGCTCAGAAAGATATTTATACGAGCGATTCCCACCAGGATTGTTTTGTTTCAGCCAAAGGAATATTATAATGCACCTATGACAGATTGAAATTTTTATATGCTGAAACCTAACAAACAAGACAGAAGTAAAATCTGACCGTATAAAGGTTACTGTCAAAGGGAGGCTTAATTATCAGTGAAATATTTACCCAGAACATGGAAACATCCCTATCCTTTACTTTTCTCCCTCATACAGTCCTTTAAACATTTTAAAGGTGACATAAACCCCACCAGAAGCATCTGAAATTCGGCCTATAAGCCACACCTACTTCTGGAGGAGTTGCCTTGCCTCTTCACGAGCATTGTGGGTTTTAGCATAAAAGAAGAGAGGCATTTCCTGTCTTTCCTGGACCAAGCACGAAATGACTGTGTATGTAATGCTTTGTACTCTTTCCATCAACAGCAGAACAAATGTTGTTTCCCTGGACTGGAAAGGTGCCAAAACCCTCTGCACACACCATCTCTTCCTCACTTGACACTCTCTTGCCCTCCCAAAATGCTTTAGCAACTAATATTCAACCATCTTTTCAGGGGTTTATAGCATCCCATATATTTCTTTCTTTTAGCCCAAGTAAATACAAGTAAGTCAAGTGAAGTCCAAACATCTAGATTTCATGCTGTAATACTACCTTGTTACTTCAGGCTAGTTTCCTTCTTCCTCAGATAGTATTCGTTCTGCTGCCTTACAGCTGCTGAAACTTATTTAAATTATTCTCCCGTACTTTTTTTTTTTTTACATCTTGTTGATCACATTTATTGAAAGGGTTGGAGAAAAATAAAAATATCATTTATCTTAAGAATGTGTGAGCTATATGCAAATCAACTTCTTTCAGGAGTGGAGGAATCCTTGGTCATCTCTTAATATTAAAATTTATGAAGGTTTCTCTTTTTGAGTATCTTCTACATTTAAAGAGGCAATCATACAAAGTGTCCTATATTCCACACAGGGCAAATTCCTTGTTTCAGCCAACTCTCAATAGAGGGGCAACTAGTACAACACCATCTCCCCGGACAAAGAGTATCGGAATATTCCGTTTTGTAGATTTATATATCTCTTCATATATTTCTTCATCAATTTCTATAGTAGTCACAGTTTCTTCCACATCGCCCAATATCATATTTAAATGTTGATCATAAGCATGTAATCTGCCTTGAAGTTCCCTGTCGTTCCTCATTTTCACATAAATTCGCTCATCCAGGCTGAGCCTGATGAGATCCAGGGGCTCTTCGATGGTGTTGGTAGTTTGTTGCTGGTCTACGTCGTCTGCCATGTTTCAAACTTTCCTATTCTCCTTTACTTATAAAGTTTGTGAAGTGGCCTCAAGTAACTCCTAAGACTTACCATGAATATAAGATGCACACAAACAAGAGAGTGGTGCCCAGGCCAGTAACCAAGTTTTTGTCTCTGTACAGGTCTTGACCAAAGTCAGGCACACAGATGGTAACGTTCTTCCCATGTTCATCTAGAACTTAGAAAGAAAAGACAGAGTAATTGCAGTCAAGTTAGAAAGGCCTGTTGTGAAACAGCCATCCGGCCAACAGCTTTCATCCAGATGAGAAGTCATTTTACTGTAATAGAATGGCTGTGACTTATTATCCTGTGCTTGTTTCTTATACCCTTTCCCAGCAAAGTTCTTCTATAGCAGCCCATTTCTCAACAGTTTCTTTTTAGAGGAAAATATATGTCTTGTTTATTTTTATTTATCAGGTCTGTAAATATGTACTAAAAAAAATCATTACTTATAAATAGAATAGCTTATTTAAAGAGAAGGTATTTCCTCATTGATATTGTCATATGTATTAATTCCATTTGTTACTACTGTGTACAAAAGTCTTGTTTACAAGGAAATGGTATACATATTGATATCATTTTGTTCATTATATTTACCAGACATAACTGGTTAATAGTTGTTGAACCGTAATGTAAAGAAATGTGACAATATTCAAGTATGTGCTTTCTAAATGTGTCAAATTACCATTTATGGGCACTGGTGACACCCACAGGAGAGAATAAAATTACCTATGCAAAGGTAGGGGGGAAAATAATCTGTAACCTTGGAACATCCTGAGATGCTGTCGATTTTTTAAAAAATTTGAGAGGCTATATAACAAAGACTCCATTAGTGGCAATTTACTTTTCATCAAATAGGGAATCATCAATTTTAAATACCCAACTTAGGTCTGACTGCCAAAAATAAGGAACATCACATAAAGTCTAAAAACCATTTAAAAACACATGCACATACTTGAAGGTAGAATAAAATTATTATTGGTACTCACACTTGAAATAGTAAAAATAGCTGTGCATACTGTGGCTTAAGGAATCTTTAGTCTTAGGCAATGAAAAATGTTTTTTAAAAAGCTGTTCAAAATATGAACTTTTCTATTTAAAGTTCTTCTAAATACAGGTTTTTTTCTGTTAAGTGAAACCTGCCACTAAAAAGATCTCATTAAGTAAACACCAAAGATTACTATATTAAGAGACTACACTTAAAAACTTAAGAGCTTAAAAAAAAGTTAAATCCAGGGACAGACTATACTTAGTAAGACCTACAATTATATCATTCGCACTATATGTAGCAATAAAGACAAGACCCATACATAGTATGTGTATATGCTACAACTTTCAAAATTATCTTTGCATTTGATTTCTATATTTAAGAAAGGAAAACAACTTCAATTTTCTATTTGAGAGAAAAGAGAATAGCTTTATTTAACTTATATAAGATCAAATGTATCCAGGCATACACACATTTATATACACATTTATGTATCATCAAAATGATAAAGATGATGAAATACAACAAATTTGGAAATCAAAGTAAGAAAAGTTGGTCTTTTACTGGCAAGGCTCAGTGGCTCATATAATAACACCTTATAAAAGTGTTTTTATTGTTCTCAAATAATCATCGCAGCTACTCTACATAATAATTACTAGCCTACTCATATAGCTCCTACTATGTGCCAGGAACGACAAGTATATATATGGACACACATACTCACTGAATTCTTAAAAGCCACTCTATAAAAATAGAAATCCTATTTAATTACTTTATTAAAATCTTATTTTAAAGAGGCAGTGTCTAGGAAGAGAAAGGTAAATAACTGTACAAGATACTTAAGTGGCAGAACCAGCCTATAAATCTAAGTAGTCTGACTCCAAAGCTTATGCATATTCTGTTGTCTCCATAAATAAACATTATTTAAGATGAGCGACTCAAGGTCTCATAGCCAGCCAATGGTAAAGCTGGCCTCAGGTGCTGTCCCCTGCACCCCCCACCCATGTTCTTTCCGCGCTCTGTTATAGTCAGAGAAACAACCGCCTGAAGAAAAGTAAATTAATAACTAAAAAAAACCCAAAATAAAAACAAAACACCCATGTTCCTTGAAAACATAGAGCAGGATAATGTAGATTAGACCTAAAAAATACTGAACAGCCTGTCTTTGTTCACGTCTTTTCTATACAGCAGGAAGAATCAGAAGAGAGAATTTTCATTTTCACATACCACACTCCGGACTTTATTTACTGAAAATATCTAGGTCATGCCTCTATTTTGATTTATGGCATTCTTGACATTTAAATAATAGCTAAGAGAGACATATTCCTTCCTCCACAAATGAGACTATTCATACTGCAAACACATGCTCCCTAATAAGGAAGGTCAGCTTACCCACTTCTACAGGTTTGCTGGACAGAGCTGAGAAAGTGAGATATGTCACATAGCAGCTTATGAGACCTGACTGCAGCAACCCAGAGTGTGGCTGTCCTGGAAAACGACAAGAGACACATTATAAGACAGGGTTTTTAATTTCAACAGTAAGAAAGCACATGCCTAAAAAAATAGGTGCCCTCCCTGCCAAATATTCCTCAAACTTGAACCCCCACCTTTAAAGGGAAGAAGAGGTATAGAATGTGTTTTTCAGATAACACTGAAAAGATATTTTTATCTTTTTAGGAGGAGGTTAAATGCTGAGCCTACATCTGTATTTTAGAGATACAGGTTCTGCCAAGTTATCTACTAGCACCTTATTTCAGTAATAACTACAACTTAAACATACTACTTACTTAAACATACTGCCTCATCTTCCTGAAGTTCATCAACACTAGTTCTTAAGTCACAAGACCTCAGAAGGAAATGTCCTATTTCCCTATTTATTGTCTTATTTGTGAGACTACATAGCTAAGTGGGGTAAATGATAGATTTCACAGGGTGTGGATTTTGGATTCTGCAAATTCATGAGATACATCCATGACAGTAGAAAAAAGCTCTTATCTGTCAATGGACAAAACCCTTTGGGAATGCCAGAGCTGGTGCAGGCTAAAGAGGAAGGCAATTGGACTCAGCATTCATGAGGAAGAAGGGCTTTAATATTACAATATTTAAATCAAAGTGTTTGGGTCCTTGAGAATAACCAGGATGTGATAAATGCGATTATCTTTTTTGGTGAAATTTTTAACCACCTGCCAACATGACAGGATTTAGTTTCACCCAGTCTTCCCTCTGATTAAAATGGTTTCCATAAATATAATTATTAAATTATAATAACCAGTAAAGGTACAGAAACAGATCCTTTTATAATTTTGCCCTTTGGCGGCATGGGAATAAGACTTCAGCAACTAATGGCATTAAACCAAGTATTTCAAAATATAAATTATAACTATTTTTAAAGGCAGGCCTTAACCCAAAGGCTATTTTAATCTGAATACTAATGTTTTAGGAAATTCTTAACTGATCAATGAAAGGGATTAGGAGAATAATATGCTCAATTTCAATAATGAACTTGAAATTTTCAATGCTGAGAAAACCTTAAATTATTCAATACTAGTTGACTTTTGAATCACTATTTTAGGAAGAATTCAAGTGGCCATAAGTTTATTAAGCATATATTCATTTTCCTATCTAGAAACCTGAATGTCATGTATACTTTCATCACTCATATAGTAGGATATCTATATGAACATTATAGCAAGGACATTTCTCCTTATAACCAAAGACTGCATGTTGGCTTAAGATATTAGAAGTTGTTTATAAATGATAACTCACACCTATACTTTCTAAAGCACTTTCAAATCCCATTTTCTCTTCCCTCTGGCTTTGAAACAACGTGACAGGTCAGGCTCACACTCTGCTGGCTTTGTTCAGAAAGCACTGGGTTTGAGGAAGGTTAGCTTATGGGGCCAGCTGCCTGCTGAGCCCAGATTGGATTTCCTGTTTCCTGACTCCTGTACCACACTGACCCTGACTCTGGTCCACAGGCCTTGAGTGAAAGATGAGCCCAGAAACAGTTCCTTCCGGAGGTTTCTCATTCAAGTTTTAAACAGAGATTACAGGGAAGAGCTTAATATACACTCAGGGCATTTTCCATTTAAAAGTTCCTTGTGGTACTTCATATAATAGTGGCCATACCTATTTCCCTATTTGTTGCCTTCCTTATACCTAGATCTTTCTTGACATGAGGCATGCTTGCCTATCACATTTAGCTCAAGAGTGTGGTATGAAAAGACTTAAGAGTCCCACCCTTCCTATTCCTGACCCATTCACAGTACGTTAAGGGTTGACCATAATCTAAAAGCAAAACAAAATTAACAGAACAAAAACAAACAAAAACACTGGGTTTGCTCAAAAACACTTAGAAAAATAAAAAAATATAAATAAACTAGAATGGAAAAAACTGCACTTACGATTTTGGACACAGGGAGAGATGGCTACCACTGAAATAAGCAGGCATAAGCCTCCATTTACCCCCAGGAGAATTTTGTTTTCCAGGCAGCCATCGTTCTGTGTATAAAACACTGCCATCAAAATCAAGCCTCCAGTGGCAACGGAGTACATGATAAGTGTCATCAGGGCCAGAGAGGCGTGCCACAGCTTGTTGTGGGCTGTGCCTGCAGTCCTGTTTCTCCAGGAGATAGGTAAGAGGGAGGGGAGAAAAGACAAGTCAATGAAGCCCCCATTTCTCTGACAACCACGCACCATCCCTCAGGGATTAACTAACGCTCTCAGGCCCCAGGCCGTCATAAGCGAGTTGTCTAAGAGACTATGATCACTCTCTCCATCAAAGGTAGAAGGTAAGATAAATGTGCCAAAAAGTCTGGGTTCACATTTAGAGTTTTTTCTAAACACTGAAAAGTTTTTGACTAACTTTTGATTCATCAAATAGAATGAATATCCACAGACTTGTTTCTAGCTTCCCCCTTCTAAATGTGAATTACCCTGGGACAGGTTCTGGCAGTATTGAGAAGTGGCTCTTTGTTGGAGTTTTCTTCAAGTTGTCCCTATAAACACAGCACCTGGAAGTGAAACAGTCTCCTACTCCAGAGACTGCCAGCAGCTCCTGCTGATGCCCATCTTCTCTTTAGAGAAAGAAGCAAATAAACCTCACTCAGAGGAAGACCAGCTGACCTCAGCTCTGGCCTCCTTGCATCTGTAACAGTGCTGCTTCTCCAAACAATGCCAACTGTGATTAAGGGAGGATCTGACATTTTTAAAAGTGGAGAATAAAATCAGCTAGGAAAAGAGTTTTCAATTAATTTTTTAAAAAATGTAATGGGATTTACCATAAACAACCTTAAAGAATAGATTCATGTGTTTTCTAGTTTATATAAATATTAATAGAGGGATGGGAGAAATAAGCAGCGGTTTAACAATCCACAGGAATTATTCAGAACAAAGAAAAGAGTATTTATAAATGCTAAGAGGAGAGAATAACAATAGGGAGCATGGACTGAATCACTGTCATCTGCCTGATTACTTTGTCCGTAGTAACCACAGTCTCACAACCTTCACCAATAAAGCAGCTTGCTTACTGTTTTCACAAAACTGGAAAGTATTCAACCAACTCAGCTCAAATGTTTTAATGATGAGAAAGTTACTGCACTCAGAGACAAAGAAAATAGGGAGGAAAGGCCAAAATGATAATGACCATCATGTTCCTGAGACCAAGCCAGGCACTCCAATGACCACAGAATTATTCTAACATAAAAGACACACAAAAGGGATGAGAGATGAGACTGAAGAAAGAAAAAAAAAAGCCTAAAAGCCAAATAGTAATCGATGACGAGACAGAACGACTTACAGAGAACAAAGTAAACACTGCTGACTAGTAGGTGTGTGTGTCTGTTTCTTCACTAGTCTTCTGGGTAGTGTTGTTAGGATATACAGGACTTTTTTACAGTTAACTTGGGCTTCTATTTTCAAAGTTAACTCTCTAACCCTAACCTCTTCCCCCCACTCCAGACTTCTTTATCCAACTGTGCAATCTCTCCACTTGCAGATCTAACTGGCATGTCAAATTCAGCAGATCCAGACTAATTTCCCAGTATTTGCACTCCACCCCCCAAACTTGCATCATCTTCGCAATCACAGGACAAGGTAATTCCACTCTCCCTTTGGCGGGGGGCGGGGAGGGGAAGGAAAACAAAGGAAAAGGCTGCAGGGCTCCGGACTGCCCTCTTTCGGTCCCTGCGGTGTCCCACTCCCTCAGACCCCAGGTCCTCCTCCTCCGCAAATCCGGCCAGTTTTCACTTCAGAATACGTGAGAATCTGCCTCAGGATATTTACAGTCAGAGCAATGTAACTACATGCAAGGAAACCCCCTCGTCTCTCACCTGGACCATCTCCCACTGGCCTCCTTACTTGCACCTCTGATACCCTCTAATCTCTTCCTGAGTTAAAAATATATATCAGATCACATCCCTCCCGTTTCAAGATCCTGTGATGCCCTTCCACACAATGGCCCCAGAAGCCCTACGTGATCTGGCCCGCGGCCGTCTCTAATTTCACCTCTTCCACCCATCCCTCACTACTGGGGTCCAGCCACAGTCGACACCCCACTGCTCTTAAACAAGCCAAGCCTGGCCGGTCCCGCCTTGAGCTCTCCCCACTCTTCCTTCCTTCCTAGTTGTTCCTGCCACCTTATCACAAAGCCTTTCCTGGCCCTGCTCCCCGCATTCCCCACTCCCTGTTTCTTTTTCTCCAGAGCTACTTTCACAACTGAGCCTGCACTTATTTGCTTGATTATAAATTGATTATCTACCCACATCCCCCCACCACAGAGCAGGACGTAGCTCTGTGACTGCTCTTCTCCTACAGTTTAGAGCCTGGCAAATAGCAGGTGCTTACAGAGAAGGCACATAGTGGACCTCTGGCATCTTGCTGCACTGATGGACAGTGCCTGCATTGGGGTATGGGTGGGGACTTGATAATATGGGTAAATGTAGTAACTCCATTTTTTTTTCATGTGAAACCTTCATAAGAGTGTATGTTGATAATAACTTAATAAAAAAAACCAGGTGCTTAGTGAATGTTGGTGCAAAGATTGTCAACTGTTAAAAATTAACTTGATGCAGCAATGTTAGCAGAATGGCTGCTATTCCTGCTGCTCCAGATTCATTTGATCTTCTAGATGACATCTGGTTTTTACAGATATCCCAAATAAGTGCCGTGACTTATGTATCTTTATATTCCAGTGACAGCCACACTATTGAGACAGGGACCATGGGCTTAGACAAAATAAGGTGACAGCCTCCAGAAAAAGCAAGGCAGGATATTTACAGTCAGAGCAATGTAACTACATGCAAGGAAACCCCCTACTAAAACTCTGTGTTAAACATTAAGCTCTAGAGTCATTCTTCAGTGAGATCAGTTAATAATTCCCCAGATAAAGAAGAGCAGCACATGTTTATATTATGCTAATCATTTGTAATCATGTGTAAGATTCACCTTAGCACACTAAAGGCCCAGGCCTATGTGCTGTCTTTCCTCCTTCAGATCTGATGAAGTGATTTGCAAACTGGGCAACTAATTTAGCATGCAGACCCAGCTGTACACAACATAGTAAAAGGCAGGAAGGATTCCACCTTAAAGATAAGATGGCATTTTAACACCCAGGAAGTTTAAGAAGTAAGATTCTTAACATACTCTTTAGCAGACACACAATACCTCAGCCCACCTTGGGGGCTGGGCAGGCGGCCTTTTGATATGCTCCTAGACCAAGACACCAGTATCCCAGAGAGAAATCAGAGCAGTAAATTTCTGTGTTAAGTTAATTTTTAATATTCAGGGACCACTTAACAAGTCCACAACCCTAAGCCTTTTTACCCAGTTCCCCCAAATCCTCAACTGCCTATAAAACCCTTAGACAACGCACCACTACAGACTCTCTTGTCCCCCGCCAGGAGCTCTATTCTCTCATTGTATCTCTAAATAAAAGCCTCTCCCTGGCTCTCCTTCGGCTTCATGAACAAGAACTCCGGCATCACTATCTGGCACATAGTTAATCCTCCAAAAATTTTGAATAAATGCTAAGTGGAAGAACTTGGATGGAAATTAGAAAAGGATCAGGCAACAGGGAGAACACAGGGACACAGTGGGAAGCAGCTTCCAGGCAGGGACTGCCGGCTGCGCCTGGGCTGAGGGTGAGGGTTAGGAGTAAAGAAAATGCAATGACATGAATTAAAAATCTAGCACATTTAGAAAATGGGCTTTTATTAGGAACACCTGAATATATTATCTACTCTGTTGTTTCGATTTTGATGTAGAACTGACACCTCAAGTCACAGAATTTAAGGTAGAAATAAAAAAACACATTAAACATCCAGTCCAACCAAGTCATTTTATAGGTGTGAAAACTGAGATCAGAGAGGCCAACTAAGATGCCTGAAGTGAAACAGCAAGCTAGAGGAGGAGGGGCACTAATATCTGCAGTCTCCTGGTTTCCAGGCCCATGGCCTTTCTGTCCTACTGAGACAGAGACCATGGGTATAGGCAGAGTAGGGTGAGGGCCTCCGGAAATAGCAAGGCAAGATAATTGGTCAGAGCATGTGACAAGATGCAAGGAAGCCCCCAACCAAAACTCAGTGTTAAACATTAAGCTCTAAAGTCATTCTTCAGTCAGATCAGTTAACATTTCCCAGAAAAAGGAAAGTAGCCCATGTTTTCATTATGCTAATCGTTTGTAATCATATGTTAGATTCACTTTAGCATGCTAAAAGGCCCAGGCCTAGGTGCTGTCTTTCCTCCTTCATGCCTGATAAGGTGATTTGCAAACTGGGCAACTAAATTAGTATGCAGGCCCAGCCGTAAACAACATAGCAAAAGGCAGGAAGGATTCCATCTTAAAGATAGATTGCATTTTAACACCCAGGAAGTTAAGAAGTAAGATTCTTAACGTACTCTTAAGCAAACAGACAATAACTCAGCCCACCTTGGGGGCTGGGCAGGTGGCTTTGTTTGATATGCTCCCAGACCAAGACGCCAGTATCCCAGGGAGAAATCAGAGCAGTAAATTTCTTGTGTTGTTAATTTTAAACATTCAGGGACCACTTAACAAGTCTACAACCCTAAGCCTTTGTGCAGTTCACAAAAATCCTCATCTGACTATAAAACCACTAGACAACACACAACTGCGGGCTCTCTTGACCCCTCCAGAGCCAGGAGCCCTGTCCTCTCATTTTATCTCTAATTAAAAGCCTCTCCCTACTGCTTCTGGGGTCTTTTTCTCAAGATGTTTATGAAAAGAGAATGAAGACAGGAAAAAGGGGAAAAAAAACCCCATGTTGGCTGTTCCACGAAGAGTAGTATGAATACTGTATTTTCTAGACTAACCTTACAAATGAGTCTGTTAAAAAACAGCAAAAATACCCAAAGAAAATGAAAACACTAATTCAAAAAATGTATGCACCCATTTATTGCATCATTATTTACAACAGCTAAGACATGGAAACAACCTAAGTGTCCACTGATAGATGAATGGATGTGACACACACACACACTCACACAGGAATATTAGTCAGCCATAAAAAAGAATGAAATCTTGTCATTTTCGACAACACAGACACACCTAGAGGGGAGGGGATCAGACTAAGTGAAATAAGACAGAGAAAGACAAAAACCATATGATTTCACATCTATGTGAAATCTAAAAAAACAAAACAAAAAAGAAACACTCATAAATACCAAGTACAAACTGGTAGTTGAGGCGGGGAGAGTAACGGGAGGGGATGAGTGTAACAGGTAAAGGGGATTAAGTACAAGTTTCCAGTTTTAAATACATAAGCCACAGGGATATAAAGTACAGCATGGGAAAATCATCAATACCATTTTAATGACTTTGTATGGTGACCATAACTACACTTATTGTGGTGATCATTTTACAATGTATATAAATGTCAAATAACTATGGTATCCACTTGAGACTAATATAATATTGTGTGTCAATTATTTCAATTTAAACAATCAAACTAAGATAAATTAATTAATTAAAGGGCCTGGATCCAATATGACTGGTATCCTTATAAGAAGAGGAAATTTGGACAAAGACACACACAAGGAAGATGTGAAGACACAGGCCTAAAACAGCCACCGAAGGAGGAGAGGCCTAGAACAGACCCTTCCCTCAGAAGGAACTAATCCTGATGAGACATGACCCCAAAATATCAGCCTCCAGAAGTGTGAGAAAATAAATTTGGTTAAGCCAAAAAGAGAAACAAACAAAAAAATCAGAACAAAGAAACTAGTAAATTAGATGAATTTACCTGAAAGTAACAATATGAGGGAGCTTCCTAACTTAATCCTAATTTTCGGCAGACAAATCAACTATGAGTAAATTGACAAGAGGGATTTGATGGGACACTGGCCCCAAAGCCACGACCACAGCAGCACCGTTTGTCACAAAGCTGACGCCCCTTGCTGAGAGGTTTCTGAAAGGCAACCAAACTCTTCAAAACTCCTGTTAAAACTTGGCATTTGTAATTAGTCCCAGAAAATGACTTCAAAATTAATCAAAACATTGAAGTCAGAGCAAGGAAGCACAAGTATTCCCAATAACACACTATTTACTGGGCCCATCAGGCGCTCATTACCAAGGACGTTCCTATGTTACCCTGAAGCTGCTTAGCTTGAACTGTATGGATAAAATTTTAGGAAAATTTAGGAAGATGCATTTATTGTCTAAATAAAAAATCCAGAGTGAAAACACATTCAGAATTATCACAGGAGTAATATTTAAATTTGATCATGAAAATGCACTTACTTACACCTTATTGTGGGTGCAATGGCCACCCATTTGGCTTATCTTCAGGAAATCTATTGCCAGTAAACAAGATCTAGTGGAGGAGACCCCAAACCTAAATTACTGGGTTTCAAGGATGACTCAAGAAGCAAGTCAACATGGAATAACGTATACAAGCACAACACAGATCTAGAAGTCCTAAAAAAATACTAAAACATACCTGTGCTGCTACTTGTATGACTATTCAATGTGCTGTAAAAATTTTAAACATTGGCTGATAGCATTTGGGTGATGACTTCAACATTTACCAAATAATAAAATGATTAACACTAACCTTTCACTCATGTATCTCATGATTTGATCTTTAAAAAGCAAAACCAAAATAAAACAACTACTACTACCAAGCTGAGGAATTATAATCACAGTGAAAACTATTTCTAGAGAACTCACTCAACAATGAGGGGGTTGGGGTGGCAACCCTCCCCATGCAGTGGAAAATCTGCATATAACTTTTAACTCCCCAAAAACTTTACTACTAATAACCTGTTGACTGGAAGCCTAACCAATAACAGTCAATTAACACATATTTTATATGTTTTATTATATACTATATTCTACAATAAGGTAAGCTAAAGAAAAGAAAGTATTATTAAGAAAATCGTAAGGAGGAGAAAGTATACTTATAGTACTGTATTTACTGACAAAAATCCACATATAAGTGGACCTGTGCAGTTCACGGGTCAACTGTATATTTTATTTCGTCCAAGAAAAAAAAAATTCATGTGCACACATTTCTTTCTCAGCCCCTACTCCCCACAAAACAGTATAAAGTAACGTGATGCCTATAATTTGCATTCACAATGTAGGTGGGTCACAGGGACAGCAGTACAGCATGGGGAATACAGCCAATGATTTCACATCTTCCTGTGTAGGTAGATGGTAACTGTAATACAGGGGGTGAGGATTTAATGATATGGTTAACTGTTGAACCACTGTGCTGTACATCTGAACCCAATGTAAGATTGTGTATCAATGCTCTGTGGCATCTCACTACACTGATGGACAGTGACTGCAATGGGGTATTGGGCGGGGGGACTCGATAATAAGGGTGAATGTAATAAACATATTATTGTTTTAAACGAGTGTATATCAATGTTACCTTAATAAAAAAAAAAGGTTGTGTATCAATGACACGTGAACAAAAAGAAAAAATAACACGACACCCATAATATTTACAAAAGCTACTGGGCCTAACAGTTATTTTCATTCATATTTTATAAGTAAAGTAAGACAGGGAGCAGATAAGTGTTTTGTCCAGAGTCACAGAGTAAACATGGCCTTAGCTCTCAAGGGACTAATTATCATTTCCTCAATGTGGCTCAGCAAAAAATAAAACTAGCTATTAATAGTATGGCATTTCCCACTCATCCTAGGATGTGAATTCTATTTTCAAGGCAATTATAAAGAGTCTGTATTTTTAAAAGTCAGGATGGCTTTCTAAGGCAGCCCAATAGATCTTCCTAATGAAGGGGTCCTTCCACTCAGGCAGTTGAAAGGAACAAAAAAATTTTTTTAAGGAGAGAGCTAGTCCATTGCATATTCTTGGCAGAAAGTGAACCATCAACTCCAAAGTATTTTTTACAAAAATCACTTAAGGATGGGGTCCAAGCAAGTCAAAACCTGCCCAAGTTTTCAGCCACCCACCACCAGTCACAGCACCAAGACCCAAAGGGGCCACTGAGGGGCAGGTGAGTCACACCATCGGCTGACCCAGACCCCATGTGACAGCACAGGGAAGGACAGAGCCAAAGAGAACAAAGAAATGATGTGGGAAAAGGAAAGGCAGTACAGAGAGAGAAACAGTATGGGAGACAAGTGAATGAAGAGGTCCTAAGAGTAGGAGTAAAGGCAAAGTGCCGGCAAAACCCATTTTTGGTGTAAGCAGGCTGCTGTCCCTGCCAGTACAACTGAGTGGAGCTTTGATCAACACTGTACCACGTGCAGTTTCTCTGCGGCAATGAGCATGCTCACTTGGAAGCTTTCCATAAAGGCACATACCAGTTCTTGTTCCATTTATGTGCAAACTCCACAAGCAAGATAAGCTGGATGCCTATAAAGAAGAAGCCTCCGATGGCGCCCACATAGCGCCAGGCTGCAAAAGAAGACCATCCAAAAGGAAATGAGGTGATTGGAGTGTACATGATTAACCTTCATGCTCTAACTGCCAGATATCTTAATATGCAGTAATTCATAAAGTCAACAGTGACCCACAATTTAAAAGTAAAAACACACATTGCCAGAAATATCAAAGGTCTAAATTTTATTGGCTAGGGAGCCACCATTGTCTAGTGAGGAAATGAGGTTCAGACTTGGGGTCATCTACTTCTGGCTCTACCACAAAGAAGCTCTAACCTTGGATGATGAGCCACATCACATCTCTGGGTTACAGCCTGTCTATAAAAATGACTGAGCTGGGAAGGGACTGCTAGGCCCCTTCCCATGCTATATATATTCTTCTAATAATACATAAAAGCACATCTGTGGGGAATAGAAAACAAATTAACAGCATTTTACTTAAAAACAAGACCTGGTTACTCCCTGAAGGAGTACGTAAGTTAGTGTGTACATAAGGAGTACATAAAGCCAGTTATGACCCTGAAAAACTAGCTGGACCCTGATATGTGGCTATTTGAGGGACTACGGTATTCCTTACAAACTGACACCATGTCAATGTTTTTACTCTTATTTAGGACAGTGAATTCATTTGGGTTGAACACAGTGTTTTGAACCACTGAACCTCAGGCCCTTTTTCCTACTGAACTCATATGAAGAAGGGCCCCCTGTATCAGTTATGATTAAAGACTACGTATTAAATTAATTTTGGTAAGTTCTATCACAAAGGAATATAATATAACTCCGGGTATACAGTTGAACATAAATTTAGAAATAAACTGCAAGATGTCTTTCTCACCCCCTTACAGCTGTAGCATATTTAAGGCCTCTAGGAAGCCCTGTGCTCTGCACTGCCAGATTTTTCTATGCGGTGCTCAGAAAGAACTCCCTGGGCCTCTTCAGACCCGCCTGGTGGGGTCATGCTGACATGCTAAACATGTTTTCAAAGAAACTTTAAGTGCCTAATTTTCCCTCTACTCCAATAACCTTAAAATTATCATTTCAATTCTTCAGCCTGAGAAGTAACTAAAGGTCCTCTCATACTGTGTCAGGAAGGTAGGGAGTGTGAGAGAAAGGAAGCAGGGACAGAAGGGGAGAGGGTGGATAAAGTGTGGGCAGGTTAGGGGGGACTTTTTTTTTTTTTTTTT